GCAGTGCTCCGACAGACGTTCTTGCAAACATATAACAAATGTTTTCCCCTTTCATCTTTTGATTAAAAAGAAAGACGTTAAGCATTTGAAGTGTGTGCTGACACATCATGAACAATCCCTTTAGGATGTGGGAAGAGTGGTAGTTTATTTAAATGACAGCCAAGATTCACTCTGGGGAGTCGGTGTAGCGCATCCAAAAAAAAACTGGCTTTCTAGGAAAAGGAGTTTCAGCTGGAGTCTCAAAAGAAGACGTTTGCTCACTAACAACATAAACCGGTTCAGAAAATTACGACTTTGTAGCTACATTTCGTCTATATGTGTGATTACAGAACTATTTACTGTTGACTTTCTATCATCCAAATGTAGCATTAGACTAAAAACCTACTCAAGACTGTTCGGCTGGGCCCTACATAGACCATCTGCAACTTTTGAGAATAGTGCAACATAAGCAAGCAGAAGGGAGCATATATCAAGTGTCATCAATCTGCCTACAATTTTCTGACAGTGACAGAACTTGAGGCAGAAGTTGACCCAGTCCGTCAGTGACGCTACACTTCCAGTCATCATTTCCCGTCTGGGAATCCTCCTCCTCCTCCTCCTCCTCCTCAAATAAATCTGTCTGCGATGGCCTAAAGGTGACGGGAACACAATGCAAACATTACTTCACATTCGGAGCGGCCAGAAACCTCCTGCCCCTCCGTCTCTGCACTGATTGGATGCGACCTGTCAGTCAAAGCCCTGAATGGCCGCTAAACGGCCCTCGGACTGGTGCCAGGAGAAAAGGAATGGAAGACGAGGATGAAACAAAAGGCCGTTTGTTGTTGCTGATGGGTGATAAATGCAGCCAGTTGGAGTCGTTTTCACGCTCATTGGAGCAGGTCATTATGCAGGAATTGCTGCTTGCTCGGCCCTAACCGGCACCGTGTTTGGTTTACCGAGACGCCTGCAACCGACGGTGTGCATTTTCCTGTAAACCCCCACCTCTCCCTCAAACACACACCCCTTATTGCAGGTCTCCTGAGACACACTGGCACTGAGCAGCTGCTTCTCAACTGTAATATCTAAACCAAGACTACATGCGGAGTGTGTGGACGGAAAAAGGCAGAAGAGGGATACAAGAATTGGGAGTGCAAACCGATTCACTTCAGTCCTCGAACGTGAGCCACTCAGGACCAGATGAAGCTGAAAGGTGTTCCTCCATGAGGGAGTTCTCCAATTAACACCCCAACACTGGCTCGAGCTAATCTACAAGTTTCTACATGCAGGATTGCTGAGGTCGGAAAAACATGAGATGTGATGGACACAGAATAACAAACACAGGCCTTGGGTCTGTGTTCGTTATTCTATTGTCCATCAGTAGTGAGTGTTAAGTTAAGTTTCAGGCCATATTTATATAAAGCTTAATTAAGTCATAGTTTCTCCTTTCTTTGCTTTTTTTTAGCTTCCTGTTAAGCCAACAAATGCCTCACTGTTGACTTTGTAAAACAGAACTCAAAAGAACTACATCTAGGCTGTGACAGCATCGGCACAATGAGCCACCCCGTTAATCTGGCATGGAACAGAATGCCTTGTTTTTTTCATTAATGCCTATCATGTGAAAGCAACATAAGGACGGTGACACGAAGACGCAGGTTCATCACTAACGCTGACGACTTGATGTCCTATAGGTGGGTTGTTTTTTTTTGCATTGTTTCCTTCTTTTTTTCACATATTTTTTCGACGCAGAAACGTGTCACATATAACACATTGTTATTAGAAACAGATGTTGATTTTATCGTCGGCGTCTCCGAATTCTTTCACAACGTCGACACGGTGTCACATGCGCCGGGATACCGGGACACATTTGCATGACATACACACCTGTCCTCCACAATCCCACACGCCGCTGTAACACAATACGCAAGTAAAACTCAGGAGAGTAATGTTTCATTACATGACGAACAGAAGGTGAAAGCGAGGGAGGGGAGCTGGCAGAGGCACACAGATGCATAACTTAAGTAAAAGCCATCCAAACCCATATTTGTTTACAGATTTGTTTAATAAGGACAAAATATATGCAAACAAATGAATTTGCCCGTGGTTGTAACTGTGTATTAACATCATCACTTACAAGGCCAGGTCTCCTCTAGCCCTCTACAGTAGCCATCCATCATGCATTATTAAGGAAAATAGAATCTGCATAAAGCAGCAACAATGCCTAGAAGAAGTTTATTTATTTATTTGTTTTTTAAAAAAATCTTTTTAGGCTCTAAGCAGCAGATCCGAGTACTCGGTCGCTGTGAGCTAATTACAAAGCATTTGATCGCTATGCCTGCGAGATGTGCAATTATAACCTTGGTTGAAAATATAATAAGGGAAATATTTCACAATTTAAAACAGTGGGATGATGATGATGCCCCGACAAAGCTAATGGTATCGCTCACCTGCGTGTACGTCACATAGGTTTTGGAACAGGAGGCCCATTTAACAAAGTCATCGCCCCGCAACCACAGCTGACGAAGGAGATGTGCCGTTTCCCAAAGCTGCTCCAGTCAAAGCGTACTTGCAGTATTTTAACTAGATAGAAAGTTCTAGCAGACGGGTAATCTAACAAAGTCACAGCGCTCCGAGGTACCTGTGGCTCCGGTTCTGCTGCAGTGCTATCTATGCCGGGATCACACAGGCACCGCCACCTCTCTCTGGCATATCTCTCCACAGATCGCGCGGGGAAGACAATTGTCATTACCATTTTATTAAAATGTGTCCTATCAGCAACATTTTCCCCTCACATATCTAACCTCCTTTTTTTTTTTACCCCTTCTTTTTTTTCTCTCCCCCCTCTAATTCTAATCATCATTCCCCTCCATCACTTGCTGGGTCTAATTCCCTCTCTTCTTTCGTTTGCAAAGGACCTCTGCTTTCATCCTTGAGAAGGGCTTTAATTCGAAGTGCGACGCTGAATAAAGAGGGGAAGAGAGAGAGAGAAAGTGAGAGTGATATGGAAAGACAGAGCAGCGGTGGAGACGTTCGGGTGTCAATCAATCCGGCGCGAGGGGCTGCGAGGGCCTGTGACTAGGGTGCGTTTGATCTGTGTCTTTCAAAGGGGGAACAGCGGGAAGGGCCATCACAGATGATTTGCCTCTCGCTGCTGGCCCTGGTGCCACTCTGACAGTGAGCAATCACAAGCAGGTTAATTCAACATCTACCTTCTTAATCTTTTTTTCCCCCGTCTCTTTCTTTTGGTCCCGTTCTGTCTACTTAGATGAAACACTGCTCTTTCCGCCACCACCCCCCCCCCACCCACCTCTCTCTTTTTCCCTCTTTTGATGGAGGGAGAGATCAGGGGTGCACTTTCAATGCCTTTTCAAACCCCTTATGCTTTGATTGCTTTGGTCTTAATCAGGTAAAGGGCGGTTGATTTTCTGCAGATCCGCAATAGTTTGTTTACGTGTCGCTCCCACGAAGCGATATTTTGTTGTTGTAAGGTATCAATGAAAGGGAAGCAGGATCAGTAATTTCTCAGTGGAAATTGGTGCGGGGAATCATTTTGTTCGAGGGTAAAGAGACACCATCGGCTGCATTTTTGGATGGTTTCTATTGCTGTCAGTCTTTAGGTTCATATCTGTGGTTCTTTGGCGTGACCGGAATATGAATCAGAGCGTCGTGATGACAGCTTAACTTGACTGAAAGAGGAGGATGTGTTTCCTCAAGATCAACGAAAGATGATGTGCGTTCCAGACAAGATCTGCTGACCTTCGCTCATAACACTGAAGAATGAAAAAGGCCTGAAACTGTACAGCACAGTGTTCGCTATAGCTGGGTGGACTCCCAGTAAGATCGTGAGCACCTTTAACATGAAGCCACAGCAGTTATAGAGAAATCTCCTTCTTTTGGTATAACTGTTGTGTTCTCAAATGACTTGGAAGACCACACAAAGGAACAAAATGAATCTTCCTGACCAAAGGTCAGCCATGCATAAGGACAAACAGAGGTGAGGGAGATTCTGGAGTGAAAGGGTAAGAAGAAGCGTGAAGGTGTGCTTTGGTTAAAGGTGAGAGGGTATGGAGAATATGAAGGAGGGAGGCGTTTTTAAGAGCAGGTGAAGGTAAAAAGGTTGTGCTCGGAGGTTAGGACATGGAAGTAAAGGAGTTCAGAGATAAGAGAGCTGGTCATTGAATTTGAGGAGCAGAAATTATATCAAGAATAAGCCTGTTTGAGAAATTAAAAGAAATAAACTCTTCAGAGTCAGCACAAAGACACAACTCCGGCTCCATTCAGTTTCAACTGGAAATAAACCACAGTACTTCCAGTGATGTCCCTGCATGGCCTCTTCCCCGTGGTGCTCCCCTCCAACTCCACTGCTTTTATGTAAGGTCAAAGGGATAACAGGATAAAGGCTGTCCTCTCTGCTCCTCTGAAGGACAAGCACTCGGCCGATTGGATTTGGTGGCCTTCAAGGACAAAAGAAGGGCACGGGGATACAAAGGAACCAATAGTGGAGGAACACGATTTCATCCGTCTCTATGGCCTGAGTGATTGGCAGGGACGACTAGACCAGCAATCTTTGAGTGCTGCGTCTTTGTGTCTGGGTGCCCTCCATCAGCACGGAATAGCAAGAGTCCATCCATTGACGAAAACACACTCAAGGGTCCCGGAAGATCTGACCTCAGCGGGACGACGGAGCGTGGGCAGGGTCGCGGGGGCAGCCAGGTGGTTTAATTCAGGGGAATGATATCACATGTTCATTTGTCTGTGGGTATATATGTGTGTGTAGGTTTGTGTGCATATTACACATCGGAAGCATGCAGATGATTAGAGAGGCTAGAAGTTAGAAAAGGGAAAGTGGTCGAGTCCAAATTCTTGGAACAACAGAAATAAGCTGCCCATCAGCATGGCACTTAAAAGGCGCAGTCCAGTGATTGGCGCCTTGCTCAAGGACACCTCTGCAGGGCCCAGGAGGTGAACTGGAACCTCTCCATCTCCCAGTCCACACATTACATACAAATTGAACAGTTAGTTACCTGCATGCAGGTAGGCGAGGTCTGGGTTCTCGATATCAGGGTGACTGGCCTTCAGGTGGTTGCGGAACTCCATTGGAGAGTTGGTGGCATGGTTACATTTGGGGCAGTTGTACATCTTCACGCCCTCGTGTTTGCCCGTGTGGAGAATGTGCTTCCGGATGTTCTCAGCACAGTTGGATCTAAGGGAGACAAAACAAGAGATAAAAGGCCTCATTTCCTTTTTTTGTAATAGATTAGAAAAAACAAAAAACAAAGATGAGAGTCACGAGAGAGAAAACACAACATAAACACTTGGCAACTTTCCCAAGGAAAGGTTTGCTGAGGTAACATTTTATTTTGTTGCGATGATGACGCACACACACATACACACACACACACACACACAGACACACACACACACACACACGCACACACACACTTGAAAAAAACTCCAACTGGGCTTTGGAGCTGAGGGAGCAGCAGTGTTTGGACAGACTCTCTAAGCATTCATCGCCTAAATACACCTCTGTGAAACAGGCTCCTCAACCGGAAAAAGACGAAAGACCGGAACAGCGAAACCCAACTTGTTACACGAACAATATTTACATCATGCAAAAGTCTTTGACATTCTGCCATGCTCTTCAGGTTCAGTGCCTAATGGGTGTGGTGGGAGCAGTGGGTGATGCCTGCAGCGAGACTGCATGTGGATCAAGAGGCCTACCGAGTGCACTAGAGGTATCTGTCATGCATTATGTATCTTTGGCAAATGTATGAAATGTATAGAAATAGTGGTGTGTGTGTGTGTGTGTGTGGGTGAGTCTGTGGGTCTTTGGGCTGGTCAGATAGGGCAGGCCAAGCAGTGAGCTACTGCAGGGTGTACGATGTAATGATGTCAGCTCAGAGAGTCGCACACAACCCTTTGCTGATATATGATGCTGCCTGACCTGCTCCCAGGCTCTATCTAAACCTGCCCACGAACACACACACACACACACACACACACACACACACACACACACACACA